GGAAAGTTAATCGATTTTTTTACCCCCCCCCCCTAGAAAGTTTTCTGCGGGCGCCCATGTCTTCAAATTAGATAAATTATAAACTCATGAGACGTTTGACTTTGGCATAACCCACACGTAACTTATACTTATAGGCTACTTACAACCTTGCTTTTCTGTTTTCAGAACACTTCTCCTAAGTGGTCCGGTAGGCCTATATTTTTATGCGTTTGGAAATGATCAATAGTGTGATTTCTGTGATAGATTCATTTATTTCATTTGCAAAATACTTTAAGAAAGACGTGCCACAACACCCATTGGAAAAATGACTAAATTCTTAACTACTAGTGGTATGCATTTGCCCCTCAAATGGGAAGCCTGACAGAAAATAGCATCCCTCTGTTTACGATATATATTTGTGTCAATAATATAACTATAACAATATATCATATTATGCTTGTAAAGTATTATTAATTAAAGCTTAACATATAATATATGTTAAGCTTTAATTAATAATAATTTACGAGCATAATATTTATTTGTTTTAAAAAGGCAAAGGAAATAGCTTTACATTGGACATTGAAAATTGGAGTTTGAACATGACACTACTGAAATGATATTTGACTTGAATTTGAAATGCTTGAATATTTTCAAAATAAAAATTCTAACTTCTGAACGTCTCAAATTTTTAATTTTTTTCAGTGTGTAAATAAATTTAAATAATTATAATAGTTGTTTTTCTTTTTTTTTTTTTTTTTTTTTTAAGGCTGCGCTTTTGAATATAAATTATAAATAATAATTTTAAAATAACATGTGTCACTGAAAATAGATTAGTCGGAATATTGTACACAATTTACATTACTTAAATTTAAATTCTGGATATTAGGTTATCCCCCGGGGTCAGCTTTTGCTTATTTTATTGATATTGATTAATATTGCCATCCGCCCTCCATTTACAACTCATTAAATACCCGGTAAATAATGAATAAAATAATATTTTTTAAAATTTAGCATTTTAGCATTGGAACAGTTTAAAGTTTATGCTTCGAGCCTTCCCAGATTATCAGTTAAAAACAATGAAATATGATTGTAATACTTCCATCAATAATCAATATATTAATTTGAATTTAAAATTTACAAAAATAATGCTTTTAATAAAACGTTTTTTGAACTAACAGTAATAAAAATAGGATCGTCGCTTCATAAAATGGAGATTCCATGTTTTATCCATGGAGATGTAAACAATATGGCGACCATGCTAAGACAAATTATAAATAAAATATAAAAATATTAATGAACAGCAGAATGAAAAACTAAGTCTCTAAGATTTCATTTGAAAAAAAATAGAGAACTACTCGATTGAGTCATTTTACTTAATAATAAATAACAAAAATTATAATACATCATAATTCATAATATTCATTCAGAATTAGAAAAAAATGTGTAGACCGGGTAGATATAAATCTAAATTCTAAATCTAAACTCACAGATTTCATCATCGTTATTTTTAAAATTTAGAAATTGTTTAATTAGATTAGGCATAGCGCCTATCCATTTCTATTATGATCATGAAGATGAATTAATTCACAATTTTAAGTAATGTCAGCTAAGTGTTGATCGGTGTTACGATTCTGTTTATTTTGACTATTATTATTAGTTATTAAATTAATAATTAATAAGAAATAGGCCTACTGACTGCTTATTTCTTAAAAATCACCTACTCAATTTCTTTTTGACTATACTTAACTTTTAGGGTAGGCCTACAAATTTCTGTATTAAAATAAATAAATTGCTGAATGAGAAAATGGAGAAAAATAAAATTGTAAGTTTCATTCCAAATCCATTTGAGAATGTTGAGATGTCAGAAACTCCAGACCCTGACAGCTTTTTTGGTGACAACGATTCTATTCTTTCACCTTTTAATTTTAATACAGGTAAGTATATACTTACTTTTGCATTTTACTAAATTTTCTCATATTCATAATATGATATCAGATGCTAATTTAGTGACAGCACAAACTTGACTTAGTCTTAAGTCTTAAGAATTTAAATATCTCTAAAACATTTAAAATTCTATTAATATTAGTCAGCTAATAGCTAATTATCACAACAGTCAATAGTAAAGTTTTGTCATTCTTTTAAATTTTGTGTTTTCAAATTAAATAGAATAAAATCCATTGATTATATGAAAGAACAATAAAAATAATACTTAGAGTGATAGAGAAGTATATCTGCCAGTTCTCAATTAGACTTTATTGAAAATATTTTATGGCTTATGGTCTCAATTTTTTATGCATTAATAAAAACATTTTAAAGTATTTTTCAGTATAAAATCTTAAAAATGCATGTTAATGCATGCAAAGTTGAATATTGACATATCTACCAGACAGTACAGAAAAATTGTTGGCCATGCAATGCATCTTAATTGTTCAGTTAATATGTTACAGGCCAAGTGTGAAATCCAGGCCCTTTTGTGATGGTATTATTACTTTGCCTTAGTCCATTCAGACATCCTACAGAATGCAGAGACAAAGTGTATAATTTCTTATGTATTTAAACTTTCTATAGTAATAAAATACCTGGATTACACACTCTTTGCCAGTAATATACACTTTTTATGAAACATCTCTGTAAAAAAATTAATTCCAATGATTATTAGTCAAATTTATTTGCTTTACCAACTGGCCCACTAGCTAGTGGGTTGAAAGCAAATGAATGCTTAACTCATATGAGGCGATGGTCCATTGGTTAAGGATAAAAAAAATATTAAAAACTCAAGTTATAAAAGAGATACATTTTAATTTTACTATTATATTTATCCCTATTTCCAGTCAATAATTTCAATTTCAAAGATTAATTTTAGTTATTAAAGAAATGTATTGGGCATTATTGTGTTAATTTTGTCAACATTTGTTAAAATTCATCCAATTAATTTTTCTTTGAATAATTTGTCAAGAGAGTGAGCCAAACCAACATGGTTATCATAGAGACCCAGGTGAGGTCAATGTTCATCAGTTTTATCCTGTGCTTGAACATTCATTTAACCGCAAGCAGTTTGTAAAGAAGGACTTGAGCTTGAAAGCAATTGCAGAGGAGGTTCAGAGATCAGACCCTCATAGCAACAGTTCATCTGAAAGTGGTGGAGATGTAAGTGTTTCAATCTCAGATTATCAATGAACTACATTTTTTTAAGGACTGGGTAGAGAAATTATAGTTATTTCAAGTATTTGAGCTGAAGCTTATTTAAAACAGAGTTTTGTGCATTTTCTTAACTAATTTAATATCTATTTAGTACCTTTAATGCAATGAAACTGTATGAGAAATACACATAAGCTAATTTAATCTAAAAGCCTCATTGTTAACCTTGTGAAAATAAAATAACCTTGATGTAAATTAAAATATTGTTATTTGATTAATTATCATAATTTATTTTAATTTTAAAGTGTTTCATGGTTTGTGCCTCATATGTTTTTGTATAAGTGATTAGAAAATGCTGCATTTAAATAATTAAAATATTATAAAGAATAATTCATTAGATTTCTAATTTATGTTATAAAAGGCCAGCAATGAGGAAGGTGATGGTGACACAGAAGCAAAGGAGGATAAAAACAAACAAGAAAACGAAGAACTAAGAGATGAGTTGAATAATGTAGATAACACGATCATTGAAACAACCAACCCTGAAGATGCTATACAAGATCCGTACCACTCTATTGATGGGTTAAAATCTCAGGTAATGTTGGTATAATCCATGCATTTTGCTGCAAAAATACTACTAGAGTAAATTAAAGAATTCTACTTAGTGGTAGAGGAAGAGGAGTGTGGATGGGCAAGTTCATCCTGGGGGCAGGGGACTTTGTCTTTATATTATTGGAAAGGGGGGGGGGGATTTCATCCAGCTTCACAGTTTTTTTTTAGCTTTGCCACTTATTCTAATTCTACTTCAATTATATTCAATTAAATAGTTGCTTTTTTTTAAGCAAAAAAAAACTTATATTATTGGAAAGGGGGGGGGGGATTTCATCCAGCTTCACAGTTTTTTTTTAGCTTTGCCACTTATTCTAATTCTACTGCAATTATAGTCAATTAAATAGTTGCTTTTTATTAAACAAAAAAAAACTTTAGTAGCCTATTATTATTTTTCTTCACGTGCTGTATCAAATATCATGAGCATTTATCCACAAAGTATGTTATTTCAGTATTAATTATATTTATTGGTCCATATAAATAATATTTGTGTACTGTATCTTAAATTTTACCTTTTATCCATAATTCATGTTCTTTAATTGATTTATTACCAAAAGGAGAGTGTTTTTGCCACTGCTGTGGATGAAGACTCACTTCAAGCTGCTTTAATGAGAAATCAAGGAACTTCTACACAAGGAAATTGGATAAATAACAAAATTCATAAAAATATTAAACTTGCTAAAGTGATTCATGAAAGAGCTTATGAACAGTGAGTTTTAAATTGCATCTCTTTTTTTTAAATTTTATATTATTTAGATGTTTTAACTGTCATAATCTTTGAGCGTTTAGCCTTAACTGTCAAAATAATGTATATGTTCATCCATACTTAAAAACTTGGTAAAAATTAATCTTTAATTTTGTTCACATTCCTCTTTCACATTTGTGTTTTTTTTACACTTCTTTATAAATATTTTATATCTAGCTATCAAAAAGCCATGGAAAATACTAAAGACCCAGTCAGTGTTGTAACTTTGCTCAATAAAGCAATTAGTTTAAAATCTGATGAGCCACAGTTTTATGTCAAGAGGGCTGAAGCTTTCCTACAATTATGTGACTTACAGGTAACTTTCACCTTAAAAAATTGTGTCAGATTTTTTCATAGTTTAGTTATCTGCTCTAAAGTCTTTTAATGAAAGTAGATCAAAGTCAGTACTTAAGTAGAATTTACATTAAAATGTTTCATTTCTCTGATGCATCCAGTCTAGCTGGTTGATGAAAAGCAACTAGTATAATGGAAAGTCGAATGGGATACTAATTTTATTAACATTTCAATTTACATTGCCAATAATAAACACTTAAACAATCTATTTGTCTTGAAAACTATTTACTTCACACACAGAAATCACATGAAACAGAGAGTAAAAAACTTAATTTTGTTGACATAGTTTTTTTTAGATTACCATTAATTAAACTTGAAAAAACTCATACAATTTAATATTTGAGCAAAAATCAAATAAACCCTTCTTTCCACTACATGTGGAATACTAATGAAAGAATTAATAAAAAATGAAAGTGAATAATAAATTCCCTGTCTTTGAACATTTGTGAAGTTTGAAGTGTTTTTTTCTTTTTCTTAGTCTTCCATCCTGAACTACAAAAAAGCTTGTCTACTGGAGCCTCATAATGAGACCTACTACTACAGGCTTGCCTTTCTTTACTATTTCCAAGGGCAAACTTTATTTGATCTCAGCATGTTTGCAGAAGCATTAGAATCTTTTTCCAGAGCTTCTGAGATGGTCCCAGAAAATGTTGGATACCATATCAGGAGGCAAGTATAAGGACTTTATTTTCTGATATTTGAACTGTTACGTGTTCCATATAAATGGAGAGGCAATTAGTAATTAGTGATGCCCACAGAGTAGGTCAAGGTGGATCTGGTGACCCCCCTCACTCCACCCCACACAGCAAGGAAATCATTTGGGCAATCACAATTACCCCACAAGTAGATAAACATTTTTGTATTCATCTCCCATTTTTATAGAAATTTTAACAAAAAATTTTAAAAATTAAATCTATGTATCCTTTTTTAAAAAAAAAGTAATACAGAATGAAATTAAGTTAAAGTCAAAGCTAATTCTAATTATGACTTGTTGTTTAGAGTCATCGGTTGGTCTGGAGAAAGTGAACTTCAGTTTATATCTCAATGTCATTTTACAATAAACTTCTTTATACCCTGGGCTGGAAATGAATTATTTTTAATATTCACCAATTTCAAAAAAAATAATGATGTCCGCTAGACATACATATTGATCCTTGTTTTGATAATTTTTGTGTTAATCTGTGGTATCTATCTAATACATTATTTCTATTTACATTTTTCATTCCAGCTTATCATGCCTAGCAGCATTACAAAGGCATAATGAATGTCTGGCATTGGTCAACAAAAGACTTGAGACAGACCGAAACAATCCAGATTTATATATTCTCAGGGCAAGACTCCATGAAATGTTCAGAAATGTGAGAAGTTTTGGAGAATTTTCTTGGTTTTGTTTTTATTAAAAAAAATTTCTTTGTGATTCTTTGTGTGTTTGTTTGAGTTTAACGAAGAGGATGTAATTTTTGCCCTAAATGGCTTCAAAATCAATATTCTTAATTTACAAAGATCCATCAATATTAAGAAGTGGGGAGGGACAGTCATTATTTGTGATGATTATGAGGGTGTCTAAATTTTATGACAAATTTGGTACAGGTGTGGTGGCTGGGGGAGGGGGGTAAAACATGAAAAAATAGCTTAGTCAAATACTGAAAATTTATGTTTAGTTGATTATAGCATACATATTGATTTTTCAGTGCTTAATCGACAGTCTGATATAATTTATATGTATAATGAATAAACTGACAAATAATTTTCAAAATTACTAAATTATTATTTAATTTTCTAGTGTAATTAAAATTTTACTCCATTCTTTGACATCATGCTGATCTACTTCTGTGTTATTCACATAAAATAGCAGTAATGATTTATAAAAATGTGTGACAAACAAAGAAGCACAATTTTATGCCAACATTTTTTTTTTAAACTCACAGAGTACCTTGTGTTACTATGACATTAAAGATGCCTTGAGCCTTGATCCCAACCATACAGAAGCCCTTGCCATGATGAAAACAATGACAAATAGATCTAACACAAACAAACTTCAAGCTATGCATCTAAATATTGCTGGAAAACATAGAGAAGCGTTGCAGAAAATGACCATCGCTATTGAAACAAATCCCTCTGTCGCCGACTATCATGTGCTTAGGTAAATTTTAAAAATTGTTAACAACATACAGAAATTTAACTCAAAATTGCTCTTCTTTTATGTATGATGTCATGATCAGCCAATAGTTTTAATTAAAATTTGTAATGAATAAAATAACTAACATATTTAATTGCATAAAGTCCATTTATGGTCACTGCTCATCACATAATTTATAACAATTTCCTTGGCACATCAAATGCTTGTTGATTAGTCAAGCTCCCAATTGTATTCTTGGGGAAGGGATGCCACTGACTGACTCAATGTTCAGATGGTGCCATTTGTTGTCAGTAAATGTAATGTAGCCTAATATTTGAAACAATAATTATTCCAGGCTTTGAGGAGGTTGTTCATGTAAAGACTTTACATTTTTTAAATTTAAAAAAAATGTTAGCAATTAATTAAAGTGCATTTAAATAAGTTGTGTGTTCTTTTCATTGTTATACAGAGGTGCACTGTACAGAAAGCTGAATGATTTCAATGCAGCTATTGATGATTTTCTTTTGGCACTGGACAAATGTGATCATAATGAAAAAGACCCAGTGTACAAGAAATCACAGAGGCAGCTGCTCCTAACTTACAATGATTTTGCAGTTGAATGTTTTCATAAAGGTTTCTATGATGAGGCAATTATTTTACTGAACAAGGCAATCAAGGGAGAGAAGAGCGAAAAGTCACTTTATGTGAACAGGGGAGGTATTCTCATATTTCTATTACATAAAATGATAAGATGATTTAGTCAAATTTAGATTTTGTTTTTTGTGTGTGCATATTCAGATCATAAATAATCATAACATGAGGTTAGCTTTTCAGTCAGTCAACCTCTGCTTCTGCCAAGGCCACAATTTTTAAAGATAACATTTAATAGATTCAAACATTTTAATTTTAGACAACAGATTATAAAGCTAATTATATAAACGTAAACCAGATCCAATGATAATGGGGGCGGGGGCTAGGGTACCAGTTAGGGCTAATGGTGAAAACCCAAATTGTGAGGCAAACCACCCCCTTGAAAAAAAGAAAAAACCATTAAAAAAAATAAATATGTTCAGAATTTAAAAAAAAAAAAAAAGACTACTAACTCCTAATGTGTATCCCTAAGCTATAGAACACACCTGTTGCACTAAGACAAATGTACTAAATCATTTAGGGTTAATCTGAACCAGCTTATGTTTGATAAGACTGCATTAGATTTTAGGTTTGGCCCTATTTTTATAGAGATTTATTGATGATGCCTAAATTCCAGAGGGTCAAAAGCAGTAAAGTGTAGGCCCACATAATGTGTATACAAAATTAATAATTAAATTAAATATATCCTGACTTAAAAATTTGGGACAAAGCTATTGTTAAAAACAAGACATTTGTTTACAATCGTTTCGTATTTTATCTTATTGTCTTCCCAGACTGTTTCTACAAACAAGGTCAACTGAAGTTTGCACTTGAAGACTATCATCAGGCTTTAGAACTTGACCCTCAAGAATCAGCTATCAAATCAAGAATTTCTATTATATATAATGACTTTGGTGTAGAGCTGTTTCAGGACAAGAAGTATTCTGTATGTCTTTTTAAAATTTTATATTATACTTCTGCTACCTCCAAGATAGAATATCTTCTTCACAATTTAAAATAGTGATTTATAATTTTTAACATTTTTAAATACATTTTTACAACCATTTTTTTTTTACAGGAAGCTGAAGCAAAATTTTCTCAAGCCATTGAGTTTAATCCTAGTGTTGGACAATATTATGTCTCAAGAGCAAGGTGTCGTTATTTGACTGAGGTTGGTAGATAACATTTGTTTAATGTTGGTTTGGGATGTCACAAAGTACAATCTTGGCATAACATTAAAAAATAACAGGTTTTGCTCATATTTTTATTATTGAATTTTAATACCATATAACTATATATGAAAAAAAAAAAATCACACACAAGGTTATATAAAGTTCTAGATTATTTTTTCTTCTTTCAAGTGATTTTTAACCATTGAGATTCGCATTCTTGATTGTGTAATTTCTTAAATTTCAATTTGACTTAAAATGAGTTTTTAAAACTAATTGTTTACATTAGATGTAACATTTGATAGCTTTTTTTCTGACATTGTCTTTTATGTAACTTATATGACATTGTCTATTATATAAATCTGACATGACTTTGTCTATTATATTTCTGATATGACATTGTCTATTATTATATTACTGACAGAACATGACAGGTGCAAGAGAGGATCTCCTCCTTGGTCTGTGGCTGGCTCCCAAAAACGAAGAGGTCATTTCCCTCATGTCACGTCTCTTCCCTGGAAAGTCTGTTGGTGATGTCATCAACAGTGAAGCAGCTCAGGTTGCACAGAATGCCCTCATGGCTGACACTGACAAGGCTCCAGCCGAACCCAGCAACCCACAAACCATGTAAGTCTTCACATACTGAAGCTCTTAAATATATTCAAGTAATTTTTAGCTTGTATGTAATAAATAGTTCAAAATTTCTAAGCTAACTTTGTCAGGCAAGAATCTAAGGAAATCTTTCACAAAATTGAAAGATTGCATTTTTTATTTTATTTCCCACACTGAGCTGAATATGCACATAGCTTTAATTAAATTATTTTTATGCATTATTTAATTATTATTTTTACAACAAAATATTTGTTGACAGTGAAGGTGGTGATGTTGCATTTGATGAGGATACTATAAAACAAGGTGAAGGTCAGCTATCAAACCAGGGTGAGGCAACAAAATGGCACCCTGGTGGCTCAAGCAAGAGTTACAGGATGTGCATGGAGGAGAGAGAGTTTTATATTCAGCAAGTTAAGGAGAAGAAGAAGGTGATTTTATACATATTAAACATATCCATATAAATATATTAATTGTAGGATTATAATTTAAATTTTGTAGAATTGTTTTATGAAGTATATTACTTTAATGACTTTTTCCAGATAAAGGACAAAAATTTAAAAATTCTATTTATCAAAAATTTATCTATCAGAAATGTACCTATCAGCATATTAACAATAAAAATTCTTTTTAGTTTTGAACATTTATTCCTATTTCATGATTTTTATCTTTGTAGGTGGAGCTCAAAGTGAAAGATGCCTTGATCAACCGTAAATCCCTTCATTATAATGGCGGCAAAATCAATGCACTCCCGCCACCAAGAAATCACAACAATAAGAAGAGAAGCACAAACTGGAGAACGTTTACATTGGGAGTTGGTGGTGCCCAATGACCCTTGAATACCTGTGGACTTGGATGAAACAGTATTTTAACAAAACATTTATCTTAACAAATTTTGTGATAAAGTAATTTTTCACAAACTTTGTCATTGGACTTCAGTGAGGTGTTTTTAGACATGAAATAATGTTGTGTTTTATCATCGAATCCATATCAATCCTGATAAACAGAACATTTTCCCACGTATCTAACTCAATAATTTCCCGTACAGTAAAGTATAACTTAAACTGATATTATTATTACAAAAATGGATTTATGTAAAATAAAATATGGTGGCCAATTTGGAAGAAGGGTCCAATCTGTAATAAATGTAAATTCAATTTGTGTAACAATTATGATGAGTGAATCATTCTAGTTACAGGTTCACATTCTCAATTTTTGAGCTACCGGTATAATGAATACATTGGAGCTTGTCATATTTTAGAGACAGAATATTTGTCTGATAAAAATAAGTCTAAGCTTTGAAGTTATTGAAATAATGGGTTTTCTCCCACAGTTAGTGCTGCAGTATTACTTGAAAACCTTTGAATTGATTTTAAACGTTAATTTGTTTTTCATCTTCATAAACTTAAAAGAATATATCAGTTCATCAGAGTCTTTATTTCCATGTCTTGTACTTCTTTTTCCAGGCAAAAAATTAATCTTTTGTCATTTTTCATGACCCAAACAAAAGTGTATGTGTGAGTGTAATTTCAAAGTTTAATTTCTTCAAATTTAATTTGAAACTTTTGTTTGTGTCATGAAAATGAAACTTGTTTGTGTAATGAAAATTGTGTGTGTTATGAAAATGAAACTTTTTGTTGTGTCATGAAAACAAAACTTTTGTTTGTGTCGTAAAAAAAAAATGAAACTTTTGTTTCAAAATTTTTTGACAAAAATAAATGTTTTGTACATAAAGAGTCAAGGTACATTTTTTGAAAAAGGTTTTCTACAAAACATTTGATAGCATTCAAAATATTCGATTTATTTCTACACATCAAATACATGTTTCATAACAGAAATTGACAATAGCATCGACTGTTTAGGTCATATTGATTGATTGGTTGGTTAAAAATGACAACTGTTTCCTAAATTTTAATGACTAAATGAAAATGGTAAGTGTCATGTCAGTGAACCATAAAATCACTTGCTATAAAGACCAACATCATGTCCCACCAACCAACACCTTGTCCCAAGGACCAACATCATGTCCCACCGACCAACATCATGTCCCACCGACCAACATCTTGTCCCAAGGATCAACATTTTGACCCACTTAGATTTAATTGAAAGGAAGTGTAGAATAGCCTTAGCCCCATGACTTCACACCAATGCGCTAGATGCCATGACCTAGTTCCACCAATGAATAAAGTATGCTAGTATTTCTTTATAGACTTTTCATCAGCATTTCTACACAATCCAGCCAAACCTATTTACAAATTGTGCAGCATTACAAGCAATTACACATTTTTAAGCACCGGCTGTAAATTTGTTGATTAAATCTCTCTCCCCCCCCCCCACATGTTACAAGGGGAATGGCCAGATATCACTAACCAAAGAAATAAGCAGACAGGCCACCACAAAGGTATGTCCTCTCCATCCCTTGTATGTATACAGTATGTATGACATCCAGAAGACACTATTCCATGTATTAAATTTGCTCATGTTAGAATCAACTAGATCAAAATAAGTCTGTAGAGGGGGGTTTAAGACCCAAAGTAATTGTCCATCTTAATTCGTTGGTGGGGGTGGACAATTTTCTGCAGTTTCATTTGTCCGAAAAATCCAAGGAAAGGATTGTTGATTTCTAGAGTGGGAAGCAACAGATTGTAGAGATATAAAATCAAATATGGGGCAAGTAGCAAACATTTCATATCGGTACCTAGGTGTCAGAATATCGGTAGCTAGGTGTCACAATATCGGTACCTGTGTGTCACAATATCGGTACCTGGGTGTCACAATATCAGTACCTGTGTGTCACAATATCGGTACCTGGGTGTCACAATATCAGTACCTGTGTGTCACAATGGATCTTCAAGACAGCTAGCACAATAACAAAAGCAAACCAAGCATTGTAAAGCAAACCAAGCATTGTAAAGCAACCCAAAATTTGTAGGCAGCGGTGTAGGAAAGGGGGTGCGGAGGAGACTGTCGCCTTCCTTTACATGGAGGGCCGGCATTTGCAGCCAAAATTTTTTTTTGGAAGTGGGGGCGGCTAAAATCTTGGCCCTGCACTAACCCTAGCAACGCCGCTGTTTGTAGCATACTGAACCACATTATAGCAGTTCCAAGTTACATATATTACACTCTCATACAGCTTTGGATTTTGTGCCTGACCTAATTTTGTCCATACATTTAAAAAAAAGAATTCTCTGGCACATTGAAAAGGTTTGAGCACATCCCCCAGTAAATGACCCACAAAGGGGACGTCGTCATATCACAGCTGTGTTTAAATCTTGGTCTTCTGCTGATAGTGTTGGAGCATGAGGTCAATGAACCCTGCCACCGTGTAATTGTTGTGAGCCGTCAAAAACTGGACAAACCTGCGGTCTGCAATGGGGCAATAATAAAGGGAGTTAGAAATTGATTGGAGTAGTGCATCCAGCACTATAATTCTGATGTGTCATTATTTTCATATTTAAGCTGCAAGGCTGCTTAATACAGTTTAAAAAACAAAGTGTGTCTAGGGTGGTGCATGAATTTAAAAGTTTGAGAGCCTTTGTTCTAAATATGCATTCGTAAGTCCATGTAAACATAATCCTGGCACACCTAATGCAAATTTGGTAACTGCATGACAATAAAGATAAGTAAATATTATCATAAGGCAGACTATCCAATAAGATAAGATAAGATCCTTAAATTGATCCAAAACAAATGGAAATACCTTTAGATTGCATTGTACATTTTCAGCACATAAATAATACAATTTGAACACAAGACAGCCACATTAAATTATTTCACTAGTGAAAAAAAAAAACAAACAGCCATTCAGTGAATTCTCTTAGCCATTTCATGGACTTGATAGTTCTCACTAAGATTTGTGACTTCAGAGGGAGCACGCTGAATGCCATGCTTTCGGAGTCTTAGTTTTCATGGATTACATCCAAAAGTCTCTCAATAACCTGCAGCTTATTAGCATTAGGTGGAATGTAAGCGAGGATGATACAGATTTGGTGGTGAACATAATTTGGTGAACACAATGTTTTGTCTGGTCTGCCCATTAAAACAGTGTTGTTGTGCCATTCATTATGGGTAGACCAAACAGTTATTATAATGACAGTACCCATAAGTTTCAAATAAAAAGACTCACCATTTAAAAGTGAAGAGAAAGGGACCACCTCCATGACATAGTCAGATGCTGGCTCCTGACTAGACTCGGCCCCCATCAGCTCCTCAACTTCTGTTAGATGTTTTTCCAGTACAGGACACCCACCTAGGCAGTTATCAAAGACCACCACTTGGTGAAGCCACAGGTTGGCTTGGCTGCTGATGTAGGTCTGTCAGAGTAACAACTTCTCAATTATTTTATATAATGTGCAAAAGCAAATAACACCTACTTCAATAAATTACTCTATTTAGCTCAGGTAAATACATTTAAAATTTTAAACAGTAGCAAATTCTACATGGAGAAAAGCCACAAACTTATCCTCATCTACTCCTGCCAACTCTACTGACTCCCGTTCACAATCAGGCAGAGTCTAACTCTTGACCCATTATGTCAGCACTCACTGTATTAAAAGATCTGGCCAGAATGTACAGGAGTCCAGCTGACAGCCTTGTCAGGACAGTGCTGGTCAGCAGGATGAGCTGACAGCCCTGATGTAGGTGCTGTAGACATAATACAACAAATTAATACATCAACTGACAGCCACAATACAACAAATTAATACACCAACCGACAGCTACAATACAACAAATTAATACATCAACTTACGGTCACAATACAACAAAGTAATGCACCATATAATTATGCACACACAAATGGATGTGAGGTGGCATCTTATAAAATATTGACCTAAAAATATGATAACATTATTTGTAAATTTCTTTCCCCAATAGAAATATTTTATAACTAGATTAATTTCGACTATATACTTCTTTAATGAATTCAATTTAGACTATTATATTTTTGATAACTCTATCAATTTAGACAATTATATCCTTGACATTCGAAATGATAGAATTTCACCTGGGCATAAACTGATTTCACCTTCACATTCATGATATATTTTAGGTCCAGTAACATTTCATATTTAATTTTGTAAATATTATTTCCCTCATGTCCTAACTACTTTCAGTGGGCCCCTAGATAATTGCTATTTAAATTTGTATTCAACTGTTCAAACACAATCTGAACTGAAACAAGATGCATGTCAAATATTTCCTCTCTGATAAGCAACAAATACTTAAACCATTCATGTACCCTCAACACTGCAGCTATCCTCTGCACCATCTTCCTCCTGGCCCTCAGCTCCTCAAAGTAAGACTCAGGCTCACCGCGGGAGTTGTCATCACACAGCAGAGACACATTACAGAAGACCGTGAAACATGATTTCTGTGATCTCGCGACAGACTCCAGCTCTTCAGCACTTTTAACGCGGCTCAGAAAAACTCGATTTTTAATATTGCTCATCACAGACTTGTAAACCAGTGAGGTTTCATCGGCCACGTCTTCATCCCAAAATATGATTTGCTTTTGACAGCTGGGTGCACCCCTGGCGCCGGGGGTCATAAAGTTCAAGACAATGTCAGACACCATTTTCCCTATACATTCTGCGTGTTGTACAAACTCATCTTGTCTGCACTTGTTAAACTGAAATAGAAGAAATCTAAAAGGAGCAAGGAGAGACTCAAGGTCAGCATTGTAACTGGTGGGGAATAAGCCTTTATTAGTGGGCCAGTTGGTTGATTTAGTGGCATCATCCTTTATCCAGGTCTCCATTAAATAAGATTAGTTATGTAAAGTTTTTTTAAGGAAACATATCCTCATTATCTATTTCAACAGGCAATGAAAACTTCTAAATTGATTGAAAGTGGGTCAACAGGGCATCATCAACAGCATACTAAACTTAACCCACATCCCCACTTCCCTTCTTCCCCATGGCTGGACCACTGGACTAGATTCACTTGGATTTGAACCTTTGTCACATGTCTCACTATCTCAACCACCCAACATTTTTAACCTGTATTATGCATGGCACAAAATGATGACCTGGCTTTTAATTAATTACAAGACATGAAACTGAATATGCAGAAAATTGTATGACCCATGACCTACTTCTGGGTTTTTCAGCAACATATTGAGATCATTCATAAGTGTGACGTCACAAAGCCTTGAATTGAGTATAAGAGAAAATGGACTTCCTTTCTCTATATCAGTCCACTCAATGACTTCATACTGCTCCAGGGGGTGTTGACACTGACAATGAGAATGGCACAATTTTAATGTAATATTCACAGGTCAAATGGCATTTATTGTCTTTTCCTACTCTACACCTTGGGTTGGGCTGTGCTTTATAAAGTTCACAAATATTTTCAAGATTTTCTCCCGTAGAACCACATTTTTTTAAACCTTGTCATTGGATCAGATGCTTAGTGTTACAACTGTTACACTTTTTATTATAGCAAATTGTATAAACCCGAATTTTAACCAGTAAATTTTCTAATAACTAGTTTAGACTCATTCAGAAGACTCAGTTAAGTAGTGATAACTTCAAAAAAAACTACCAACATCAATTTTTTACTCACAAAGAATGCCATTGATTTAAAAATAATCTCATTGTTTGATCAAAACATATTCTCATGTTTTTTTTTCTACACATTCTCACTTTTTGATCTGCACATATTGGTTATGTAATTAAACAGATATGACGCACGGTCGGAGCCAAATTTCATTGTAACAGTTTTGATGGTAGAATATCATATTATGTACCTGCAATGTCAAATCTGGGGAGGAAATGTCCCGAACCTCCATCAGTTCAACCCGTTCCAGCCAGGACTTTGAGTTTGTGTTCTGTCGTAGGTCAAAAGTACCTTTCAAAACTTTGTGTTGCCAGTTGGAGTGAGCATGCAGCTGGCGACCACTCAAATTGGGAATGTAAAATGCAGAATCCTGAAATGCAGGAGTGAAGAAACAATGTTGAAAGTCAAAGTTTCTAAAGTTGATTGCCACATTTCCCTCCTTTGAGTTGACTCAGCCACAGCGTGCGTCTGATATATCAAACCCACATTTGCGGCTACACTAAAAGTCCTCAAGCTTGCATTGTATTGCATGTGATCAATTTATTGTCAGGGTGAAGAGTTGGATTATTCTAAAAAAAAAAATTTCCAGGGTTTAAACTTAAACAGAATTTTATGTTACTTAATTCAAACACTTTTCCCAAACCTTCAAAGACCTATGTATTATCATATTCTAAAGAGAAAAATAACAAACTCACCAAATTATAGCATAGATAAAACATTCTTTATCACACTTAAGTGTATAAAATATATATAGGCTTTGGCCTTGCTGTTGGCTAAGCTAACTAGACTTTGGCCTTGCTGTTGGCTAAGGTAACTAGACTTTGGCCTTGCTGTTGGCTAAGCTATCTACACTTTGGCCTTCCTGTTGGCTAAAGTAAATAGACTGGTACCATCTGCTTCTTAAGCTTTTTTTTAAATTTTAACTCCAGCACTTCATCTATCTCAAGGTTTCATTATATTTTTTACTGTAATAGAATACATATTTTCTTCTTTCTGCTTTTCCAGATACAAAGTGCATTTTCTCCTTGACAATGAGGCCAAATGCAACAACTCTTTTGTTATGTGAACTTTATGAGGCCGCCCCCCCCCCCCCCCCCCCCCCCCCCCCCCCCCCAGCACTTCTGGCTTGATCAATTGTCAGTCCTTGCTTGAGGACACAGACTCTCACTGTTTAAATTTTTGACAGTGGCCTCTTATTTACAGAGAATCCTCTCTCTACTGTCACCTGGCCATGTGATAACAACAGGAGTTTCTGAACAATGAACCACAGCTCAGAAAACTGATTTTTATTGTGAGGAGTAGAAAAAATCATCAACCCTGCTTTTATAAGGTGAGAACCTTCTGTGTTCCATTGACTTTTCCTAATTTTTCCTAAACTTTCAAAGACCAGCTAGGGTCCACGCATGGAGGTGGAAAACCATGGAGGCGGAAAACCATGGAGCGATCCGAATGGAAAGAAGTGGTGGAACAGGACAGGGTCTTACATGGGCTGCAGCGCCACTGATAATGATGATTATTTCAAAGACTTTTTGTCAATTTTCCCAAGCTTTCCAGGCCCTACAAATTTCCCAAACCTTCACAGACCCTGCGATCTCTGTTTATCAATTAACCCAATAACTGTCATAATGGTCAATCATTAGCCGTTATACCACTTCCCTTGGTGTCATGGCAGATTATATAATCGGCTGCTGGCAAAAACCATCAAAAATGCAAATTATTTAATCCTAAGGGGAAATCAATCCATATAATATAATGAGCTTACTTCCCATTTTTGCTCCACTCTGTGTGTTAACATGGTTTTATCAGGGCTTTTTTGTCATTAACCGTGTGCAAAGTTTTTTCAGTTTTTTTTTACCGCCATAATGTTGATGCTGGAGAGGATCCCCCGCTGGATTGCAAAATCAACACAGAATTTCTTTATTGGAATTATTTCAAATGGATTGAAATGAAAGCAATGATTTCATGAAAGCAATGATTTCATAGATATTTCATGTGCTGGTAATGACAGTATCCGCTCTGGCAGTGATGGCGACATAAGTGTCAGATATTGAAAATGTTAGCCCTGAGCTTAATCGTACTGATCCCCACTGATTAATCTGGGAAAGGGTGAAAATCTAAAAGAAAAGACAAAGATTAGATCCCAAAGACCTACCTTAAAGAGATTCAACGACATTTATTTTTGTATTTCCTGGAGTATTAATTTATAGAAATGGATGTAATAACTTCAATTGAAAAGTAATGTTTGACCTCATTTTGTGCCTTCCCCCTTGTATTTTGTATGACATTAATTTGAAGGTAGTGATTCAAAAAAATTCACCAATATCACAATTTTCAATATAAGTAACTATAACTTGACATTTTCTGAAACAATATTGCTTCACTGATTACAAGTGCCACTTTGTGAAGGAATCATGCAATGGGGGTTGGAAGGCTTGAGGCAATAGACGCAAATGTGTCTAGTGTTGTCGCCTCAACTGTTACTTTTGAAAGCTTGTTCCAGTCCCTGATTGTATTGGGCAGGAATGAGCAGCTCCTATACTGGCTTCTTGAAGGTAGGAGCCGGAATTGCCTGTCATGGCCTTGTCGCTGTCTATGGGGGAGAGGGACGAGTTTCTGTTAAATACTGGAACAGTGGACCAGCCCATTATTTATTTTGTACATCATGGAGAGCTTGGATTGTCGTCGTCGTTCCTCCAATGGTGACCAGCCTAGTGTTTCCAGCATACTGCCAACACTAGAGGTATTCCTCTATCGGTTCAGGACAAAGCGAGCCGACCGGTCGCTGGACCGCCTCCAACCTGTCAATGCTCTTCTGGGTAAATGGGTCCCAGACTGAAGATGCATAATCTAAAACCGGACGGACAAAGGCTTTATATGCTCTTTCTTTTACACAGGAGTTGCCAATCTTCACGTTTCGCTTTAAGAACCCCAGGGTCTTGTTAGCTTGGTTACATACATTGTTAATATGCTCCAATGTACTTTTGTACTTTCAGAAAATGGATATACTTTTGGGGGTCTCTGAATTCATTTAGTATTTTGTCATTTTTGAAAAACCATATGAAAATTCTAAAAACGGCTTGACTCCGTAAAGAAAAATACACATGACTGCTATAGGTTTAAAATAAAGATGCCATGTATTATAATGGTTCTTATGTCACATGCTTAATAAATTTTCAAGATTTTTATCATCAATTTGAACTAATCAACATTTTAATGGGGCAACGGGATGAGAACAAAACACTTCCAGTCCCCATTGAGAAAAGTATATAAAAAATATTTAAAACTTACGTCTCTGTTAATCTTTGCTATTCGTTTGACATAACGACTTTGATAAAGCTTTGTTTTCTGCAGGAACAAGTTCAAGGCGTAGTCCTGTTTGACATGAAGCTGATGGTAGGCGTCAGGACCGGCACCCTCATACAGCTGGATATTGTTCTCAATGGTGGCAATCTGCCATTGGGAAAACCTTTGGCAGCACTCACGGTGCTCTTGTAAAAATGTAACAGGCAATTCTTGCTTGAAACTAATTGTTCCTGCTTTTTCACTGTCTTTAAAGAGAAAATTTTAAATGGTAAAATATTTTAGAACTATAATCAAAAAAACATATACATAAGACTAATAAACTCTTAAACTTCTTAAACTGGTAAACTTGTAGCCTGATATGTGTACATATTGCAAACGCATGGAGTGTATCTCCAGGTGCATGAATTACATAGGGTAGAATATTTCATGTTCCCAATTTTAGCAGATTTCCCACCAATTGATTTCAAACTTGAATATCAACCAGCACTATTTGAAATGTAATCAGTGATAAGGAATATATTGTGACAAGAATAAGCACACATAAAGTTTGACTACGTGCCTTGTTGAGACAAAAGATAACCAGAAATAAGGGGAGAATACACGCCTTACACACAGTGAGATCCAGAAGTTTCCAGAGAGTTTCCTCTTTGACATTTTTCTTGTAGTCTCGACACACTAAATATATTTCAGAGTTACCGCTCTTGCTGGTTGATGGCTTGCTGGCAATAACCTGAAAATTAAAATGGCCATGAAAAAAGTAAACTACAGGTAGTCTTTTACATTGTAGTAGTGATTTTTTTTCCAGACAAGTATATTTAATCATTTAACATGGTAAAAGTATTTTTTTAAATGTTAAGTAAACCTTTTAATTTATTTTTCCCCTTCTCTGCAGTTTCTGTAGCCATAGTTCCTCATTTAAAAAATAATTTTTGTAGTCCTCCTGCCCCGTCTCCACAGTAAGATTTTTACTTTCTTTCTGTTTTTCAAAATATTTATCCAACATTTAGTACTATTTCTTCTTAACTTTCAAAAAGCGGGAATGAGTGCTACATTCCAAAACTCCATGCGCAGAAAATAAATACTACATCAGGAAGTGCGATTCAACACATTATTACCTCACTGAACAAAACATTCAGCAAAAATACTAAAGCCACTGAAGCTGGTTCAAAAAGGGTGAAAACTTTGAGGACAAAACAGCCATGTTTTGCCAACGTAAGACACGCAGCTATCATCTCACAGTAATGAAGTCTTGAAACGAGAGCCTCTTGCTCCGCTGGGTTAATCTGGCAATCTTTGCTCCCATCAGCTGTCACCTAAAGAGTATAAATATCAACAGGGTATAAAATGGAAATATTACTTTCATTAAAAACAAAATGAAGAAGAACAATTTTGTCACAATAATAAGTAAAATATAGCTTGAGAATTGAAAATATTTGAGCATATTATTCATGAACACATTTAAATAGTCAATTGGTCTAATGTCTAATTTCTGAATAAGTATTTTTTTTTATTTGTAAAGATAACATAAAGAATGGTGACTTTTAAGACATCAAATAAATAAAATGAAAAGGGGAACAATTTTTTTCAGCAAAAAATATAAAAATTGAAATACAATTCATTTACAATAAATATTCCTTATATATATTAAAGACATGTACATAAATTCTACTATTTTCAATACCTTTACTTAAAAGCTAAACTATTTGAATCCCATATATTAAACTGTGTTCCCACCAATAAAAGTTCCAGCTCCTGGTCTTTCTTCACTCTGTCAATGTAGCGGAAGAGATCATGTACGTAGCTGTCATGGGTAATGTCCCCTGAGCCGTTCTTTCCGAAAAACCACTGTGAATAAGTATGCCGTATGAGTCTGTCGTCTGCTATCATCTCTTCCATTGAGTTTGATTCAAAGTATGGGTTTAATGTTGTAGCTCTCCAGTCCCAAGAAACTACATGATCTGCAACAAACAAGTTTTTTTTGTTTTTTTAAAACTTTGGTTTGAATACAGCAACCAGTCATCTTGAGCCAACACAGCTCACATGTTGAAATGGGAAGGACTGAGCTAAAGCTTTGTCCTTCCACATTACTTGACAGCCAGAGGAAAGACCATCCTTTCATTCAACAGGCAGAAATATAAATTCTATTTTAAGTATTTAGACATTCATATTCAAAATGTAAATTAGAGTTAAAGTAATACAGGCAATAATCCAATCAATAGCTCTGCTTAGAAATAAAGAACAACAATGCATAAATTTAAGATCATTTAGGATTTGTCCACCTTTCATTATTATTATGGGGGCTTATTATGCATATGAAATTTTATTGTCCATAAAAGTTTGATCCAAACTTAGGGATACAAATAATACCTGAAAATTTACAGTGATCTGAATGGCAAGCAAGGCTGGGAGTGGAACTTTAAAATATAAATGTTGCTCAGTACTGAATGTATGCAAGCTCTAATTCAAAGTTTGAAATTTAGCACTGACCCCTCTGTTGTAGAAAGTGATTGAGTGAAGTAACAAATGCACCAGGGGCTTCACAAAGGTGAAGGGACAGAAAGTTTCCTCTGGGGACTATTGGATGCTTATTCAGAATTTCATAGAACTTCACCCAGGCTTGTGTACACATTTCAACACCTAAATTCCTACAGTAGGTTAGAAAATAAATCCATTTAAACAAAAATAATCAAAAGCAATTTTGCATTATTCAGGATTTCCAGAGATTTTAGAAAATGGACAAGTCCATTTCAAACTTCACAAAATTAAATTAAATTTATGTAATAGTGTAATATAAAAAAAATATATTTTGTACTAAGAAATACTTTCCAAAAGATGCAAAGACTTTTTTGAAAAGATGCAATCTAAAAATAATAATGATACAATTCACCAAAATCAAATAGTAAGCAAAGCAACTAATATGATTGATTAATATTTTTTTTTAAAACTATACACAAATGATATTATTTTCTTTCTTCCTGAATAAGGACTGCAATAATGTGTACTTACTTTACATGGGGAATAACAGATGCTGCAATATTGCATTTTGTTGTATGAGTATGCCAGTCCTCAATATCTTTACTGCTTAGCTTGTCTTTGATTTTGTTGAGCTCCTTTTTCTGAGCCTGCAGCTCACTGTCATTCGGAATATCTTCTAAAACTTCAGGGTCGCCTAAGGATATTTTATTTAACAATACATTTTAGATACTGTTATTTAATAATTTGATTAATGTTTTTCAGGACACTGAAACTTAAAGAAAGAGAACTGTTTTTTTATGATTAGTAAATACAGGTACTTCAAATAAAGGTAGCCTATAGCTTTTATGCCCACAAATAAGATCACTGATACATTCATGGGTTAATTATTAATTGTAATAGCTGCCTACAGATTTATTTATAAAAACATTTTAAATTAAAATGTACCCCCAATCCAGCTCTCAAGCATGTCTGAAGAATCTGCAACATTTCCAGTTACTTTTACAGATACTGCAGAAAACTTGAACACTTTCTTGAAGAGATTTTGAACATCTTCAACTTCTTTTTGTGGCAGATCTGGTGGACATGTTTGCGCCCTCCATGAACTGGTTGGACTGTAACCTGGTTTCCATCTTCTTTTAGGCATTTTATTCTTATATGAATGCTGGTGAGCCGTACTATTCTTATATGTATGTTGGTGAGCCGTGGCTAGAAAGCTTTTGCATTTCAGTCCCTGATGAGTTTTTTAAGTAGATATTTCAATGATTAAAAATTCAAGACTTTTAGCTTCAAACCAACTTGGGAAACTTTTTAACTGTGATTATTTCAAGCAACCCTCCGCCACCCCCTTTTCCCCAAGCAAAGACCCATTCAAAAAAAAAAGCAAACATAACTTTCCTTGAGTGGCTTTAACTTTAATTTTAATCCTTTGTCTTTAGTGTTATATAAATATTCAAATTAATTTTGAATTGTTGTCCGGAAGCATTATTATAAAATTTTTATTACTTCAGTAGATTTAGAGGCCTAAGACAGACTCACTGTCTTGTATTAGGCACTTTGATGAAAATTTCAAAACATTTTTCAAAATATAAAAATACTACCGCTGTATAGAGCTTAGAGAATAGATTACAGAAACACCAAGATCAACTTTCTAGCTCAAGTATTTCAAAAGTTATGATTTTTTTTTAGTAAGGACCTCAAATCCACTTTTTTTTAATGGAGTTTTCCTCCATAAGTGTACCCCCTATTTGGCTTTTGCTTTTACGCCTATAACTTTATTACAAAATGATATAAAAATATAACATTTACAGGGAATATAGTTAGATATGATTTTTACTAAATAAAGTTACAAATTTTAAATTTTATTATTGTTAATATTCCCCCACAAAATTCTTTAATGCATATAATTTTTCTTATAAAAAAATGTATAAAATATGCTGACTCAACACTTATTTTTATTTAATTATTTTTTTTTAAATATTTTTTTTTTAATTTCTCCAAAATAACAATAAAATAATATTCTTAAGATATTAATTTCAAATTTTCTGTGTAACCGTTTAACATTTATAAGTATAAACAAATAGTACAGGATTATTTGATTTATTTAGTTAAAATTTATGATTGCACTTTTTATGTTACCATTTTCTACATATGTATATTATTCCTATATGAATATGACAAAACAATCAGTATGTCATTTATTTTAAGTTTGTAATCTTGTTTTACAAATCAACTTGTATTGTTAGAATCAACTTTGGCTGCTAATAGAAAATAAAATAAGTTTTTGTCATTTGCTTGAGGTTACTACAAGTTTTTATGATTGTTCTTTAGTAATATCTTAAGTAATTCTTGGATTATTATGCTAGAACGTGTGTTTTTTTCTTTGAGAAACTGAGGATTATATAATAATTAATTCTCTTGTGGAATATTGTGATTAAATATAGGATATTTCAATATCAAAGGTAAGAGAATATTTTAAAACTTTTTACTTAGTTTATGCCTTAAGAATCATAATATTCATTAAAATATAATTACATATCCTAAAATATCATTACATATAATTTACTATAATAGGCCCTATAAATAAGTTGGGTTGGGTCTGGGCCTAAACTATAATTTAGTGTATGCTTTGTATTATACTATGTCTATACTAGGCCTCTAGACATTACATATACATATATATATATATATATATATATATATAATGTAATATAAATATATTAGTTGTAATAAAAGCTACTTATCCCACTACTTAAATCATTTATAATAGTATAATTACTATTTTAATACTTTTACTAAGCCTATCTAAGTCTAAGTTAAAGACAAGTGCTTATCAATCCCATGTCAGCCATGTCCATGGTAACCTACCCAAAAATTAAAACCACTGATATTTTATAAGTCAATAATAATTATTTAATGTTATAAAACAGTTTTATTTATATAAAATGATTTAGTATTAGTTATATTTCCCATTTATATTCTGGATAACCAATTTATTGAATTATTAAATACCCCAGACTGCTATCGATAATTGGCAATGAGCAGACAAGCACGATGGGCATGATAACAAATTCCATAGCCTAAAAAAATGACCTCTGGGAATTTTGTTTTTGAAGCCTACCTATGGTCTACACTCATGAATTTTGGAAATGTTGTAAATGAACCTGTAAACTTAAGGAGTGTTGTTTTTTTTTATGATGGAGCGCATTTAAAAAAAAAAAAAATTATTGATGAGTGAATTTAATCTATTTTTAACTTCAATTTTAATGCTTTAACCTTGAAAAAAAAATCAAATGAACTCTCAATAGAGCAAGCAAAATGTCGGCTTTAAGTAATTGGCGGATGTAGAATTTATTATTATTAATTTTTCGGGTATTTCCGGCGATATCAAAGTGCCTACTTGTATGCTATTTAACCTTACATTAAAGAGTTATAAGATCCAAAGATATTGACATCTGAGGAACAATAACAGGATACTTTCTGAGGGAAACCCAAGAGCCACAACCAATAGGCACTCTCTACAACCAACTTCTTTAGTATCTTGCATATGTTGATGAAATGGTACGGTTAGGGAAAAGAATTGAATATTTACATATATCAAAAGCTTTTATTGAATTAGAAGATGCATTATTACAAGCAGGATGGGAAGGTAACAATCAAAAATTAAAAATACATGACTTTGTTCAATGTTAAGAGAAGAACAGACAAATATAAAACCATTAAAATTAGAAACCACACTTTTGAAAAAGTAAATGAATTCATATACCTAGGATCTTAATTAAATCAAAGAAATGAGTCACGAACAGAAACAAAAGAATACCAGCTGGAAACAGGGCAAACTTCAGTAGAAAAAAAAACATTACAAGAAAACAAAGAAAACCATACATATAACGGTAATTAGTCCAGTTCTTCTAACATACAACTTGGACCCTTACAAAAACTACAGAAAACACAAGGGTGAGAAAAGTTCTCCGGAACATATATTGCATTGCATGGACCAATGAAGGATAAAAATTGATGGAAAATACGAACCAACCAGGAATTGTATTGTCTATATCAGAATTCCATGCTAGTTGCAGATTTGTGGTAGTTTATTTTAGTTAAACAGAAGAAGTAATCTTATAAACGTATAGTATCAATCAGTATCAGAAGTGAGATGTTGGATTTTAAACAAATATTAAAAATACTATTGTTGGGTTTGTAAGACAAAATTTGTTATCAAATAAGATAATTGAATGGACTATACTGATACTGGGTCCGAAAATTGAATGATAGAATAGCCACTTCAATCATTAAATGGGCTTAAAGTTAAAGAAAAACATAAAAATGTAACCTTAAGCCTTAATTAATAAACATTAAAATATAAACAAACTGACTGAGGACTGAAACTGGTGAAAATGAAGATAGTGGACTGAGTGTGGACTGTACTGAAGTAGTTGTATTGTGTGACAATGACAATTATTTTTACAAAATACAGTATTGTTACTAATGTCATTAGTAACTAACGACTAATGACTAATGTTACTGTACTCTAAGGCTGAAACGGGATAATCCGCTATGACTACTAATACGTCTACTACTTTAAAGAAACTCCCAAAATTCAAAGCTGACATAGAAACATCAATAACTTAAAGGTAACAACTCAAAAATTTGAAATAAAACCTTAAAAAATTCACCCGCCGCTGAATTCCGTCCAAAAAGGAGAAAGAGAATGACTCTTAACTTAACACAATTTTTATGTTCCAAATCGAAACTGAAAAATGAAGAGTTCCATTGTCATTAATGTAATGGTATCGATACTAGATATATTTGATATTACTTATGGAGTCTCATTTTAGCCATTAAGATAATGTTATCATCTTTAATTTTAAAAATTCCTTCAGAAAAACTACTGATAACAGATCAGATAGAGGATACGAGAGAGAGATAAAGAGGGAGACAAAACGATATGACCGGGCATATGAATTAGTAAGAGGGTGGCGGAGGGACGGTCAAACCCGTACGACACGAGCCGGTAATTTTGATCCACTTCAAATACTTAAAGCATTATATAATAATAGTAGTAGGGCTTTTAACCGCGTTCATTTTTTTTTTGTACAACGGGTTCGGGCATGGGCGCCCGCAGGGGGGGGGGGCAAGGGGGCACTTGCCCCCCACCCCCCGGATTAATTGGATACACAAATTTTAGACAAAAATAGACAAAAAATGTATTAAAGTAAAGAGAAAATAAAGAGAAATTAAATAAGCTGATTTCCTGTCCGTTCGTTCACCATACAAATACGCTACAGTAAATCAAAACTACATTAAAACATTACTAGAAAGTTAATCGATTTTTTTGCCCCCCCCCCCCGAAAGTTTTCTGCGGGCGCCCATG